GACTACTGTCTAGGTGTCTAGCAGGGGATAATCTGAGGACAAACATACTAATTTGCACTTCCTGGTCAGTTTAAAACATATTTTCTTTTCTTTTTTTTTTTTTCAAGAAAGGGTTTCTCTTCGTAGCTTTGGTGCCTGTCCTGCAACTCACTCTGTAAATCAGTCTGGCATCAAACTCACAGAGATCCACCTACCTCTGCCTCCTGAATGCTGTGATAAAAGGCGTGTGCCACCACAACCTGGCTTAAAAAATGTCTTCTAAAATACTGTACCTTCTTGGCTATTTCCAGAATTCTGAAATTGTAGTAGATTATCATAGTTCTCAATAGATTTTTTAAATTACTTTGATGGAGGGGTATGTTTGGATTTTCTTAATCTGCTACTGGTACATCTAAAACTCATAGTTGGAGTAGGAGATTGAACATCAGCCTCTTTCTGTGTGGTTGGAGAAAAGTGTCACACCTACTGACATCTACAGTGTGACCACAGAGGAGGCCACATGGACTTCTTAGTTCTGTGTCTCCACGCTTTTCCAATGTTAAACCGTGTCTTTCCAATAGAAAACAATGGAATTTTAAGTATTTGATGTCATGATTCAGTACTCTATATATCATAGAATTCTCAACAATCACAGTATGGTTAATAACAAAATCACAACTCTATAGGACCCTTTTAAATGTAACTTTTCCCATTATATTTGCTAGATTTATTTTTCTACTGTGTAAAGGAGTTTTTAAAACCTTTTAACATACAGGGGAAAAAATAAGAAAATAACTCTAGCAACTTTCAGATAAAATCTTCCTCTGCTGAAGCTGTTGGGAGGAACAATTGGTCAACTGCATCAATTACATTTTAGCATGTGTTTGTGTGTGTGTTTGTGTGGGGGGAGTGTTTTGGCTATATGCATGTCTGTGCATCTGCTGGGTGCAGTTGAAGGACAGAAGAGGGTGTTCTATTCCCTCAAGTGATTATGGGTGCCGAGGACCTCTACAAAACCTAGTGTGTTTAACTGCTGAGACATCTCTCCAGCCCCTCAAGTACATTCTGTGTGAAAAGATCATACTGTGTATGTGGCAGGCCAAAGCCAGTTCTTCTATGAAAGAGAGTAAGAACTTCTGAAAGAATATCTATTTTGAATATTAGAAAAACCTCCTCTAAGAGGAAGAAGAATATAGCTTATGGAGTAACCTGGATACAGAGTACAGTATGAGAGGCAAGATTTTCCACTGCTCATGACTGTACCCGAATCACAAGATAGAATCTGATGCTCTCTCAAGCTGAGTTTATGGTACAGCTACTGAAGGGATTTATTCACAAGCCAGAGACAATGGGCCTGGGTGTCATCATTGCTGGAGAATACATTAGACACGCCCACTGACATGTTCCGACATATCACATAGGGAGTTACATGGGGACGTCTAGCTAGGTGCTACTGTTCTTTTACTAAACTACATATACAGCACGATACATACAACTATTATAATGTTTTCTGTCCTTGACAACAGTTTTGCCTGTGACTCAAAGGCACTGCCTTGAATTCAGGACCTCTCTAGGGGATAAAGTGAAACACAGCAGATTGACAGATGTGTTTTCTGGAATGCTGGTCAAGTTTTGGGTATGGCCAGACTCACTTTCCTCTGCCAGAGTTCAAGGATTTTCACATGCAAGGTTTCCTATGCCCCATTCCCTTGTCTGTAAACACAAAGCAGACACTGTGATCCTGGACACTCTCTGTCGTGTCTCCTATTGCAAGTCCTCTGACTGCTTATCACAGTGTGGCTCCAGGAACACATGCTCATCCTCAGAGGCTAGTTACCAGAGCTGGAGAGCAAGCTGTCTGGATAAGCATTTGTTTTTACTTAACCCCTAAATAGTACTCTGCAGGGAGGCAGGAAACAGTTTATAAAGATCACTAGATGAGGACTGAGGGGTGGAGATGTTACTCCCAGCTCTGCCTCTGGTTCTCTGGCCTCTGCGGCCTTAATTGGCTTGATATTCTGGGCCTTTCTCTGCAAGCTGGATCAGGGACTTTGCAAGTGTGCTGTGCAAACTCAAAGTCTTCTTACAGTTGCTTCGGGCTGTGATGGGATGTGAGACAGGGGCTGGATTGAGGGGCTACATCTACTCCTTTCAATCAAAACTGCTTCAGTTCTCTTTGTCTTATATGAGATTCTTGCACAAAGCATTCAGAGGAAAGATTCTGAGGCCCTGGGAATCTGTTTCTGAAAGGCCGTTCTTGCATATCTCCTGTGCCAATGCAGTGTACACAGAGTCTGCGCAATTCCAAAATTAACATGAATCTGTGAGTAGCAGCCAAAGAATCGCCCACACCTTTTCAGAAAAATCACTGGTAAGAAAGGATTCTGGGGCCAAGTAGTACATGCCGCATGCTTGTCAAGTGTGTGTTTATTGATAATGATGATGACACAAGCTAGATATTTTTGGTGTATTTTTGTTCTTTTTTGCTGTAGTGCATTTTTTATTTTTGTCATATTTTGCCAAACAATAAATAAAGAAGGTATTAATATTCATGAGATGTTGCGGGAAGAAATTGTTGAGTTTATTTTGCTCTCAGGGACACAGCCCACTGAAGAGAAGATGCTGTGAGCTTGTACTTGGAGAATAAAATAGTAACAATGATAACGATGATCTGCCTGGCTCTCCAGGGCACCTGAGAAGTGTGCAGAGTTGCCCGGACTCATTTATGGTGGTTAAGCATATTGCAAATCCCCATAGCTCACCTTTATGAGCCTTGATTGGAGCCCCAGAGTGTACCTGAGCCGGTTCTAACTTTCTCACACAGCAGAAACTTGGACTTGGGTGAAGAGCCAAGAGTACTCTTTATCTCTCCAATATGAATTACATCTAGCTGTCAATATCTCAGTGTTTCTCAGTAGATTTTGCTTCCCTCAAGGAAAAGGAACTTGTGTTCCCAAAGTGCTCATCAGGGAATTTCCCCATGCTTGAAGTTCAGTGTGTTTGTCAAGGTGAAAAATAAAGGCGAAGCAGGCAATGGCTCCATCTCAAAGTCAGTTAATGTGCATTCGTGCAGAGGCCACAGAGGTCTCCCAGACTTGGTGTGCTGATGTCTTTGCTTACTCGGGGTCATTGATGATGGGCCTACCCAAGTCTGATGAGGCAAGAGAAGAATTACCACTTTTAGCAACAGTGAAGGTGCTTGGTATATTCTTTAGGATTCCTTGATATTTAGAAAAAGGGTAAGAAGAAATTCAGCTGAGAACGTAAGATTTTTAAACTTGGTAAAATGATCATATCCTTCAACAGAATTCCTACTACAAATACTCCCTGCTTGACTCTGATGAGCAGCTAACATTAGACATGAAGAGCAAACCGTCTACAGAATGCAGGTCTAACCCTCTCTTTGTCCACTCACTCTATATAATGCAGAGTAGCAAACGGTGCTTATGCACCCCCTTGTTAGAGCCAAACTCCCTAGATTTGAAACCAAAAAATATTATCTGGGAGTCATGTGACCTTGTACTTCCTTAATATCTCATACACCAGCTTCCCATATGGTAAATGTATATGACACTAATATCTACCCCATAAAGATGTTTTGAGGACTGTGTAAGTAATATGTAAGCAAACACTTAGTACCTGGCCCATTAAATCCTACACTGGGTCTTCTATGACTATTATTTGCCCGTCTAAGTTTCAGTCACTGCACGTCTAACATGGATTTGTAACAAGAACCTTTGCAGGTCACATGAGGCTTTGGGATGACTCTTTTGAAGTCCTTCCCATATCAGAAATACTCAAAAGCTCAGAACTGTTTTTTTTTATGTGTAGGTTTTTCTAAATCTTGTCCTCGGTTATATGTTGTGTGTCTTTCTCATACAGTGTTTTGTTTTCCCAAAGGAGGGGACACACATCATCCTCTCATTTCCTAACAGCTCCAGTTTAGGATTTCTACCCAGAACTGTTTCCTCCCACAAAGGAACACATGCCAGTCGGCTCATTGGTTGGTCTTCGTGACTTAAGTAGACTTGAAGATTTTTAACTCAACATCTGGATGAGGACTCTAATATAGTACCTAGGGTTTGGTTGTGGCCAGTCTCTTGAGTATATACATTTTGTCTCCTCCCTGGCTTTCATATTTGTCTTTTGGGGCACATGAAGCAGTGGCGGAGCTGAAGGTTGAATACTCAGATACAATAGGACACTGTTCACAGAACTGCTAGTTGTATAGGAAGGTCTATTCCCCCCCCCCCCCGACTTCACCTGTCAAGTCAGCCCACCACCACTAGATTCCCTTTTAAAAATTTCCAACCTTGACCCCGTCATGATCTGATATCGGAGACTCTAGATGACTTCCTGCTTTGGCATCCATGTGGCTGTTTTTGCATCTTGATTCCTCAGACCATCAGCGAACGTAGTCCAGTGAAACTGTATTCTAATACTGCTGCATATTAACATTTACAGTCTTGAAATTAGCTAAAGCAGATTGTTTTATTTAGAAAATGGCAGATCCTTGAAATGTGCGCATGATTACTGCTTGCCAAAAATCCAAATTCATTGATTAGTCAAGGCCAAACGTTTTGAGTTCATCCAAAGATTTATAGAAATTAATCCAATTATATGACTATATTTCCTTTGTGAGCCCTATTGATGACTGTTTGGGGAAAATAGAATATTGAAAGCATCAATATGGTTCAGAGAGAAATCTTTTAAGCCAACGCATTATGAAAGGTTTCGCTATAATCCATTCAGGAGTTCTGAAAGGTAGATTGGATATATGCTTTCGGGTTTAGCCACTGAGGAAATTAAAACACCAAAAGAATGAGAGATTCATCTATCTCGCAGCAAGGCCGGGACACAGCCTGGATTGGAATGCAAATGGCAATATTCTGTAGACTCAGAGAGAACGGTGTGCCAGCCAGAATGTGTGCATTTAGAAAACATTGCTGGAGTTAAATGGTCTACTGGAGCGGATTCGTTTTGTTATTATTCAGTATCCCATTTCTATCTAATTCTGATAGGCACTGTGAGAACTGCAGACCATCAGGAATAAAAAGGACCTTGGCAACCAGAGGCCATCACAAGACATCAACAAAGGAAAGAGCTGGGATCAAAGGAGGGAAAGGCACAGTGTCCACCCGGAGGTATGTGAGGCCACCATTGCCAGGAGGCTATGGGCAGGCCATCAAGATTTACATACTTACAAAATTAAAGTGAGCACAATGTGAATTCATGTTTGTTTGTTTGTCTTAATTTTTGAAACTTGTTTTGTCCTCTTGCAACTGTAGTAGAATGTGTCCCTGTTTCTCTCTCCTACCCACTTTCCCCCTTCTCTCTCTATCCTAGCTTCTTTTTATGTATTTTGTTTCAAAATAAATTCTAAAGCAATTGACAGGAAATACTGCATGTATACTCAGTGGTGCTTGATTTGAGTTATATAACCACCAAATTGTTGGGAGGGGGATGGGAATGGGAAAAGGAAAAAGAGGGTGAGGTAAGGATTTAGAGAAGCAAGAGGAGAGAATAAGAAAGGAGAGGGAAAGGATGAAGAGGAGAAAGAAAAAAGAAAATCTTGGGGAAACCAAGAGTTATAAAAAACAAACATTTTTTAAAACATTATTACAAATAACCAAACACTGTGACCAGGCACCTGTTTCTCTGCCTCCAGAGGACATTCTCAGTGTGCTTGGTCACACACTTTCTCGTTATAGTCCTCATTGTGAGCAGTTTACTTTAATGGATGTAGTACAAGTTGTTCAGAAAATTCTATAGCACATTATTGTTCCCTTTTTGTGTTCCTGGCTCTGGTCCTTAGAGTTCTTAGAGGGTCAGACTACCCATTATTAACCAAAAGATTCCCACCCCCAAAAGTAGCTGGGATCTAAAGTTAAGTTTCTAGGCGTATAAATTCCAGTTTTGCTTTTTGCTGCTCATATGGGTTCAGTCAGATCACTGACCACACTTACATCTTGAAACTGTCAAAACCCAGTTCTTTCTTCGTAGTCTCATTGTGACAAAACTAGTCTCTATTGAAGCATGAAGGAGGTAGTATGGGAAGATTAAGTGCCTATGGTCACAAGGAGTTATTACATGTGTTCCTATTTTTAAAGAGTCCAGACTTTACTCATATGCGGTGCCAGTCCACTTTTGCTTAGTTGGCCATGATTGCTTTTCCCAAGGTTGTGAACAGCTCCCAGCCTCTCAAAGCTGAGCTGTTCAAGCAGAATTCTCTTCCCAGTTGTACCTTTGTATTTTGCATAATGCCATAGACCAGGGTCAGGCTCAATCAAGTAAGGCTTCAGACTAATGACTTGTGGTTGGCATGCAAGCAAGAAGGAGCCATGGAGTATATGCATATGTATGCAGACTTTGGGGGCTCAGGTTTCAAGTCTTGTTAAATCTGCAAAAATAACAGAAATTGAGTTAAATTACAATCTACTGACAACTTTCTCTGGGACCTGAAAGAGAAAAGGTTATCAGCATTCTTATATCTAACTCTATACCAGGTTCAAAACATATTTTAAATAATATGACTGCTCAGTATAGAAGCAGTCTCCAGTCATTAAAAAAAAATACTTGGAATATTTAGAAATAAGTGAAACTTTTTACTAAGAATGTATCTTGGATCTTCTGTGTAAATATATTATGCATAGTATAAATGTATGCTTATAAATGTTTTTAGAGAATTGAGTTTAAAAAATTATATAATGGATGTGGTGTTAACTAAAGATTTTGAGCATAGATGGTTTCAGGATTGCTAGATACATGGGATGTTCTCAGAACCTTACAATATGAACTTGTAACATCCTGGAAACACAGACTAGCACTTAGCACACAAACATGAGTTGCTTGAGAAATCAGAGTTGTCAAGCTGAAGTGGTGTTTGGAGCTCGTGAGAAAGGCAGTTTTTTTTTTTTTTTTTTGGTTTTTCGAGAAAGGCAGTTTTAATGGCACAGGGAGAGGATGATTCAGAGTGTACAAAATACCAAAGAGTAAAACACAGACCAGGGGTTATACCATTTTACATCCAGGTTTGGGGACAGATTGGCTTTTCTCTGTTCTACATCTTGCCTCTCAAGGCATCTGCTTGTGAAGTGGGTATTTGGGTATTATTTGTATCCTATTTGAACCAAGTCCCTATACTGTCATGGTTCATCTTAAATTTTGAGAGCCTAGAATTTTTTTTTCTTTAGAACCATGCAGAAATTAAAAAAAAATTATTCTTTATGGTTTTACGAGGTAGAACTCTTTACGGGAGAAGTTATGTGAAAAGAAGGGCTGGGAAGCTTCATGGGGCAGATTCAAGTCAGTGTATTTACAGTCAGTCTAAAACAGACGCTGATAATTAGGGTTTGAAGCATACCAGGGGATGAGAAGAGTTAGCTTTAAAAGAGTATGGGAAGCTCACAAAGGACCAGGAAAGCCCAAGAGCAGGTTCTGTTGGAGATGTGCCGATGAATGCCAAGGGCAGAATTCTTCTAAGGCAGGATTAAGCACAATCAGAGGGGCAGGCTGTGTCCATACTGCTTCATGCAAGATGGCTTGACATAGGAGATAGATTCACATTATTCATAAGAGGAGGGAGTTCTGGGGTGGGGTTCTGTGCACTCCTTCAGTACGAGGCTGTGACGGCGTCTAGGAAGAAAAGTAGCAGATGTTCTGGAACTCTTGCTAACAAGAGAAGGAATTATATTCATCTAGTCAAACCTTGATCTACGCCGGCTTCATTTTTTATTAAAATATTTTGAACATTTATTGTGTCTTTGTTGGCATCTATTCTCCGTCTTGTTGATACACGAGTGGACAGGGCCAATAATAATCAACACTTGCCAGATAGATTACAACTTCAGAGCGGCACCTGAAAAAAATGTAAACAAATATATTTTATGATAGCTTGCGGGGCTAAGTGGTGTAAAGAAAATAATAAGCCAAAGGAAGTGTTACAGACCTGTGGCCGTGCTTGCTTACATTTGAGAGGAAGGGGAGGGAAGACCCAACATTAACCTGACAAAGACCCAAAGGGCATACATTGGCTGGATGCTGAATATTCTCTGACACACGTCTGCTATTATTCAACACAGCTCTTAATGGGCTAAAGCCGAGGTTCCCTTAATCACACCTTTCTACAGCTTTGTAGGGTAGAACCAGTATCCTTATTTGTCCTCATTCTAGGCACCACTGGATCCTTTGACACACGACCATTCCTCCAACTTCAGTCAGCAGCTCAACAGAGTGAGTTTTGTTCCCATGTCTTGGCTCTGTTCATGCCTCTATGATCACATCTCTTCCCTTGACTACAGCTAGCATAGCTCCTGCTTGCAATATGGCATAGGGCATAGGGCTCCTCCAGAAAATCTAGATAATCTCTTTGATCCCAGTGGCACATCTGGAAAGTTGTTTTGGCGTATGGTGATACAATCACAGATTGCAACGATCAGAGGCCTGGCATCTTGTTAGCCTGATACTTCTGTAGACTCCTTGTAGGGACCTTCCTCACAAAGCACATTGCAAGACAGAAAAAAGGAAGGCAAACCCTGCTGGAATGAAAATAGCAAATTTCTTCGTATTCTTTCTTCCGGACAACAGCAGTAAAGTAAAAGCTACTATATTAGTTATATCTCTGTGGCTATGACAAACACATTGACCTTGGTAACACAGGAGAAAGAGTTCATTTGCACTTTTGATCCCAGAAGGATTAGAGTCCATCATGACAGCAAGTGTCCAGCATGGTGGCAGGACAGGAAGCGGGAAATCATATCTTTAAATGATAGTGAGCAGGAAACGAGGTATGAATATATACACTCCAATATGACTGTACTTTCCTAAAACCTCTCCAACTAAAGACTAAGTGTTCAAATATCTGATCCTATATAGGACATTTAAATACCCCAAATTAACATTGTGTCCGTAAAATATATAGTGAACTTAGGTTTGTTTGGATAGTCATTTGGGAATGAAATTTCAGATTTACTTCAGGTGAAGCAGAGACACAATCATACTGGTTAATGCTCCCACACCATGTCTGTTGTCTCTGTCACTTGCTTCCTTTCTGGTTTCATCTGATGTTGCTTAATCATCTCTCTTCTGAAACTTGAAGCTAGTGTACATATGAGTATCTATACTCATTGCTAGTTGCGACTCCAAGTACGTGAGCCTAATAGCCCAATTCTAAAGATCCTATCAATCATTTCGTCATCTGCGATATCATCAGAATCTGCTGTGGGGTAAATTGGTTTTTAACTATCCAGAGTGTTCACATGGTATGCCAGGAATTACAGCAGACTGGGGATCAAGCAGTGAAGGATGAAGCATTAGTACTTACTCTCAGCTGATTACAGAGACACAGGCCTTTTATACTCCATAAGTGCATAAAATGATAGGATTAGCATGGGAAGCAAATGGTTCCAAGTTATGGCATTGTTCTGAAAAAATGTCAAGCATCCTAGAAACGATAAGTCAGCTGCTTTGCTATTGTGGACTTAAAATAACCGTGAGCCTAAAAAATATTCTATTAAGCAAAAAACAGGTGTCAAAATATCAGCTCGATGAAAATCAGATCTATTTTTTTCTTATTTAGTCCTAACTGAAAAAGAAGCTCAATTTCTCATGGACTCTTGGCTCCTAAAAAAAAAAGAGGTAAAACTTGTGAAGGAAAAAAAAAGAACCAGTGTCCAACAAAGTGGCATATCCTATTGTCAAGCAGTGAGTGAGAGAAATGCTTGCAAGGAAAATGCGCCAAAATAATCAAAGACAGAAGCTTTTAGTTTAGAAGACTCAGAGGCTAAGGTTGTTTCCTGTTGTATAAAAGAAAAAAAAGTCCAATTTTAAACCCAAGTGCCTAGAAGGCACCCATGTTTAAATGGGCTGGAACAGTGAACGCTTATAATGACGACATTAATCCCAGGAGGTTAAATTATGTTTGCTGTGATTTGCTCAAGACAGTGGAGATGTGTATAATGTACTGTAGGCTGATACTCACTCAGAATGATTAAAACGTTAATGACAACGAGGGATTGGAAGAGATGGTGAGGAAACGCAGCTCTCAGATGTTTGATGCTTTTCTCATTTTTCCATTGGTTTAATATATGGAATGTCGGATTTAACAGTCATCTGCCCCACTGCTTGAGATGTGTGCATTTAGAAT